TTTTTTTCTTTTTTATTTCAACTGTTCCCAATTTTTTCCAATTCTCCAAAGCTGTTGGTTCAAAATATTTATCTAATAGTTGATTGGATATATTAATTTTAATTGAGTGATTCATTTCATCGTATTGGTCCTGCATTTTATCATCTTTATTATCATTGATACTCATATTTGATCTTATAATATTGTTTGTACCAATTATTGAATCTATGTGTATTTTTATAAAATCATCAATTCTGATTGGATGAGTTTTATGTTTTAAAACAATATGTTTCAGATCCTTGAAACAACTTTCAGAAGATGCACTGCTTTCTGAAATATTTCCATACTTAAAAATTGGTGTCATAACAGCAGACCAACAAGGAAGTAATTTACAAATTTCAGAAGTTTTTTTGCTAATTTGATATCGCACTGCATATTATCGTGATCTCCAATCTTTCCATTTACCATTGATTCATTTAAGCATGTATTATATATGACTTGTATCTCTTCATTTACACCTATTGATTCAAATTCATCATTAGAAATCGGAATGTCTTTATTTTGTTCTATAGGTTCACCAGTTTTTTTCAAAATTGTTTATGAAGTCATCTAAAAATGTTGTTCCAGCTATTCTACATTTGAGATATTGTTTCGCAATTTCACAGTCAGTCATTGTGTTATTCATCGTATACCTATCAGTTTCACAGAAAGCGATTGTAAAAATATATTTTAAAAGTAACTTTATATATCGAAAATCTGTAGAGGATATTATTAAACCAAACGAATGCAAATAAAAAATTTTAATACGTTTGGACGTTTCCTTGTTGAACCATGTACTTAAAATATGCATGAAATGATTGAAATCATTCCGCAACATACATCCTGGAAGTTCTGTAGTTTTGTTATTTATTAATAAAGAACAAATTTCTAAATACTTTGCTAGTGAAGAATACTGCGTAAATGCTGTAACTGCTGCCATCATAAGAGTCAAAGATTGATCAGTTACTATAACTTTTGGTCGTAGCACTCCGGTTCTCAGCCATTCACTAAACCAGTTCCCAATGCTATTGTTATCGTGACGTTCGGAAAGCATATGGGCTACTGAAAATTGGCAATGGATTACTCTATCCATAACACAAATTTCATATAAAAATATATTGGATGTCATCCTCTCTGACATCAAAGATGATTTTCTCACGATTCCCCCTGTTGCATTAATGCTAACTGTAGGAGTTTTAGTAGTTTTTATGTATGTTCGATACAGATTGATTTCTGTTGTAGACCAATAGTGTAAGAAAAATCAGCCGTATCTAATATCGTGTATTATTTCATTATAAGGTGATAATCCTTTTATAATAAAAAGTTAAAGAATTGGATCATCATTATGTAATTCCTGTTTAATTGCTTTGCACTTGATTATACGTAATGCGTTAGATGACGGTAAATGGCTTGGTTCCTGATCACTAAAATTCATTAAATCTTTAGCCATTTCTCGTCTCACAAACGAAGCAGATTTACATTCTGTTACCATTTTTTTAATAGAATTTATTTTTTGTTCACCATTTATTCTTCGTTTACTCGAAGGTTTGCAATTTTTGAAGTTTCCAATTAACAAACATTTGATTATTACTCGACTCTTAGGTTCTGGCTGCTTATCAACAATATATTTTAAATTACTGAAACATGTTGAACAATGAGCCAGTATATTCAGAAAAACATTTCCATTATTATATATTTTTGCCCTTTTATAAACTATTGTACACGGTAGCCGCGTTTGCTCAAAAAAAAATGTTCATGAATCAAAGGTGTCCAAATATGAGACTTTAATGTATGGTATACTCGTACAGGATATTTTTTATCTAATCGTTTATATTATGTTTCAGTCGGCTTTTTAATACTATCCCATTCTTCTTCCGATAATGTTATATTGAAGTTCAATATATTGTCTTCATTTTCGGATTGGTGATCGGATGAAAAAACATCTGAATCTTCATCATCAATAATCTTATTTATAGTTAATTTTGTAGCAGAATCAAAATCGCCCAGTAATTTATCCCTTACGCTATATCTGTTTAATTTAACTATGGTGTATATATATTTTGATGAAATTACATAGTTTAATTCCTTTGATATATTATTCCAGCAATCTGATGCAGGAGGATTGATACCATTTTTCAGATTTATTAAATTAGATTTATTTGATAATATTATTGATATTAAATCATCAATATCAAATTTTAGATTTCGAGGCATTCTTCAACAATCGAAGATATAATTAGTAAATTGAAAAAAATATTGTGCTCTGAAATGGATAATAAAAATATTTATTAGTTTGTGCAGTAATTAAACTTGAATGCATTGAGTATAATATATTTTAGTATGGTATGTTAAAAAAAAATATTAGTATAAAAAGGATATATTAGGAATAAAAATAAAAACTCTATCTACTGTGGGTACAATTATTGTACCTACTCAATTATTAATTTTCAATTAGAAAATTAAATATTTTTATATATTTTTAACTATCACGTCCCGCGTATTTAGATAACAATAGCACCTTGCATTACATATATGCATTATTGTGCAACGATATATATAATAAACGAATTCTTATAAATATTAAAATATTAAAAAATACATAAAATTCGAACAAAGAAACAAATTAATGATTATTAGGACAACATCCAAAATATCACACAAATGTCATTTAATAAGGAAACGATTTTTCAATTAACCACTCCTGTGAGATAAATTGAATCATACACATTATCACATTATACGCATACGCCATCTCACACACAAAATCAGAGGCGGCTTGGACGTAATAACAAGTGATGCACTGCACTCCCGAAAATATGGGGTGGGTGTTAGTAGTAAACTACTACCATGTTTAAGAACTATGATGATGTTAATATATTATACTTATAGAATCAAAATGCTATAGTTCATTGTTATAGCTGATTATATTATTACAGTCTAAAGATAGTATTATTAAAATATATTAAGAAGACGTGTCAGTCGTCACGGAAAAAAAATTACTTGAAAATATTAAAAAAAGAAACGTGTATTAACTTTTATAAATGTTGTTATCATTGTAAATATACAGAGTGATCACGATCATAGGTGCTACTAAATAACTTAGGCATTCTTATTATTTGTTGTATTTTTAATTTATTATTTTATTATTATAGGTAGATAAGTAACCTCTGTCTTATTGTTATATCTAATTTCTAGGTATTTCAAAAAATGCAATTATTGTTTTATATTTATTGTTAAGGTTGGAACTATACAGACTTATTTTATTAAAATTTATCTAATTTATGGTATGAGACATATAAAACTGATGAACATACATACACAGTTTAAACTTTAAATATGATATTATTTATTGATATAGGAATAATTATATAAACAGTTTTATGTGAAAAATAATTAAGAATAAATTTATTTGCCTTAATACATTGTTATTTTGTTTCATATTCATTTTCGCCATCGATTTTTAGTTATGTACTTACCGATATTGTATTATTTACATCAGTCCCAATCTTAACTTATATTATGGGGCAAATTTCGTAAAAATAGTACCTAAACAATCATAAAAAAATTTGATTTAAGATTTAAAATTTGTTTTTCTTTGAAGTAAAACTAATGAGCAAACTTATATTAAATATTTTGAATAATTCAATTGAAGACAATCACTATTGACAAATTAACATAAAAATAAAACTGATTTAAAAAAAATAATTTTTTATTGAAATATTGAATTTATAATATTTGAAAATATGTTCATATACTTTATACAGATAATATACAAAACTTCAAAATTTGTCAAGTATCTATGAAAAATGCAAAAGTTAATAGTATTAAGACTATTTCCACTATGTATTGTTTTTGTTGTAGACAATTGTTGATGATTATTGATTAATTATTGAAAAATTTTAACACATCTATCACAGTAGTCTAGACAATAATGAGGTACTCTCTATTCACACGATATAGCAGATTGACACTTTTGTAAAATAATCCGAGCAATCTGTAGCAAAATTTAATTTGTAAGCAATAATTTTAAAAAAATGTTTAGTTTTGAGAAAAGCTCAATTAAACCACTCAAAACTTATGTCTAGTAAAATATACACTTATTTACAATGTTTGATTATTATATGAAAAGATACTTACTTGTTAAAATAATAATGCGTGAAAGACATATATTGAACACATGAATGCGTAATGTACGATTAGTTACGAAATGCAGCTCACAAATATAAAAAAACATTAGGTATCTAACTGTAACTTCATAAAATCACAAATAATAAATAATCCAAAATCGTTCCTTTTCAATAATTATTTGGTAATCGTTTAATGCTTGATTCGCTCTTGATTGGGCAATTTTATTTGCCAGGCCAGGGTCTGACATAGTAGTAGGGAGTTTTTGAAGATATTAGTCACAAATTATAACTTATAATGAAACCATTGAACGTTGAATACCGGCTCATCATTATGCTATTACAATAGCCCTATGCCCATATACCGCAGGCGGTACACGAACGGTTCTTTTTATGTTAAAGTATACCATTGATTAAATATACATAGATAGCCCACGGCTATGTATAATAAGGAAACTAATATATCGAAAGCAAAAGGTATCGATAGATAGCGTATCTGCGTTGTTTATTCACACTTCAACATTTTTCAAAAGTAAAAATAGAAAAGGAATATAATTGAGGGTAGGCGTCCGCCGTCAAAAACCGATTTTAGTATAGAATATAATCTGAGGACTGCGATAAGAAATTCAACTATTTCTATAATAATATTAATAATATATTTTAGAACATTTCGAATATTACAAATCAACCTAATTACTAGGGCTGAGGACTTCTAGTACTTAAAAATCTAATAATATGCATGCACTTATGCACTTAAAAATCAAAAAATATGCACTTAAAATATGCTCTAAAAAAATTATTTTATTTTATTATTTCATCTTATTATAATATTTATTTTTAAAAAATTAGTAAAAATTACATTATGGTTAGTTTATTGAAAAATATTTAAAAACTCTTCGTCGTCTTCTTGATCTTTTTGTTTCCTCTGATCGTTTTCATCTCCTTCATCTGGAAATATAAAAATGTATTTTGTAAAATTAATTTTTATCTTGAATATGTACTAAGTTAACTAAATGTTGTACTACCTACCTTTACTATTACATTGAACGACAAGGTATTTCCTTATATTTTCAACTTGAAACGAATGTCGGTTATCGGCTAACAATTTCTTATATGTTGAGAAAGATCGTTCTACATCTACGGAAGTTAGCGGTGCATATTTAAAAAATAAAAATTAATTTGCTTTAAGTCTTCTGGTAAGTCATCCATTGAAGTAATTTCTCCATTCAATATTTTTGAAATTATATTTAATATTTTATAGCCATTATTTTTTGCTAAAACATCGTCTAGTTTTCGCTGCACTAATTTCCCTACTGAACCTGTAGTTTGCGACAATTTTAAATAGGCATTTTCTATTATCTCAATTCCTCGGATAAAGGCATATTTTTTGCTTCGAGGCGAATGATTACAACGGGCAAAAATCCAAAGTTTGATTTTATGTATACCAGATTTGAAGCAACGTCTGGATCACTTAAGTACTTTTGAGAATTTTCAACACTAATAGAATCTTTTTCATCAAGCGATGTAATAATATCTCGTATTAGTTCGTAATTATCGCAATAATAAATAGCTGCTTTCAACCAGGTTCCCAATCTTGTTATGATTGGTTGTGGGGGGAGTGATAGGTGTGGTGCTTTTTCTTTAAAACAATTAATGCGATATGGAGACTTGCAAAATACTTTCTTCACGTTTGCTATAATTTTATCAACTTTTGAGTAATGCCTTCTAATTTATTCAGCAACTCGATGAAATGCGTGAACAATACATGTAACGTGTATCATTTTTGTATAAAATGTATTAAGCGATTTTCCCACTTTAACCATGTATGGTGCCACGTCGCTTAGAAATAATAAAATATCAACATGTCGTACATCTTTAGGCCATAATATATGCATAGAATTATCAAATAATTTAGCGATTGTAATTTGATTTGATTTCTCTAATTCTGCACAGTTTAATAAAAACACGTGTCCAGGGCCATTAAGTTCGAGCGTTCCTACAATGACACTTGCCGTGTAAAGACCTGCGGAATCTGTCGTCTCATCGATCGAAACCCAGATTTTTTTACCAAATTTAAAACTTCTAGTTTTCACTAAAATGTCTTCATAAATGTCATTCACATAGCCTTTACGAAGTGTAGTTTGATTTGGAATTTCTTTCGAAGTATATTTTTCCAAAAATGACTTAAAATTATGATTATTTAATTTATTTAATGGAATGTTAGCCGATAACAAAGCATAACATACATTTTTATTAAAAGAAGACTTTTTTGTGTTACTTAAAAGTTGTTGTTGAGTTTTTTGTAAATCAAATTTATTTTTACTTTGTTTCTGTTTTTTAATAGCTGCCTTATGTTTAGCTGTGTCGATGTGTTGTTGAACGTTGAATTTTCTATCACTTCCAACTTTTGAATCACACAATTTACAATACAATATTTTGCCGTCAGTTCTAAATACTGGACCACTACATTCACTAAATTCCGACACATAACTATTTAAACGAGAAGCCAATGATTGTTTTTCCTTTGGCATATTTGATAAAAATAAATAAATATTACTAAAAAAATTGAAAGAGACGAAATAATTACTCGACGAAAATATTTTCACGCAATGTGCACAATAATACGAATACGCGACGAAATATGATGGACAACTGAATTCACTACATATACGCGTTTCGGTTTTATCGATCTTATCGGTAAATTTTATCGGTCAGATGGTAAATTACCAAACCGATAGTAAAAATATCATTTTGAAATGGAAAATTTACCACTTTGTTCTTTTTTGTCTAAGCTAATTTAAGAATTTATTTTAAAAATTGCCAAATAAGTTCTTAATTTTTCTAATATACTCAAATATGCATTTATATGCAATAAGGACAAAATATGCAAAATAAAATTTTTAATTTGATCTCCTGGTGTTATAAAACACATTTGTTAACCACTAGAATTTTTCTACGATCTTTCTAAAAAAATATGAAAAAACTAGAAGAAACTAATTCGAGTATTCCACTAGAATGGTCGATCATTTAAAATGTTTAATTTATAAGGCACCACCAATAGTGTACAAACATGAATTATAGTAGTACAGGCATACAGCATACGAGCTTAAATCATTTTATGATATTTTTATGAATAATATACCATATTAATTTTATAATGTGATAGTTACAAACATATACGTATACGCATTAGTCGCCTTACAACAATATGCAATAATATACTGCTTATACTCTTTGTTACGATTCGGCACTTATTCTCGCCTATCTTTTTATTATCTTTTTAAATCGATCAATTTCCAATATTATCCCAGAAATTTACCACGTCCTCGTTAAATTTAAAATGCTACATAAAAACATTGAATACCTTCAGATATTATTATTATAAACTTACCATAATGATAATAATATATTATTTTCTATGTAAAGGCTGTATGAATAATAAAGAAATGTTAACAATAAAAATGAAATAAAGTTAAAATTTTAATAAAATACAAAACAAAAATTATTTTTCTTTTAATAATAGTAATATTTAAATAATATATTACACATAAATTTTTACATATATTATACACAAAATAACAAAACACATTAAATATTATTTAAAATACATAATTTATTTTTTTTCCTTATCTTTACTTCTATTTTTAATATTTTTTGATATCCAATTAAAGTCTCTTGACAATCTGCAATTTATTAAATGAGTAATGAGAAAATCAAAATGTAATTTGCATGAAGAATGAATAGGAAAAACTGAAGATAAATCATTTTTAATTTTAGAGAAAATACATTTAGCAATATTTTTCTTATGAGGCATTTTCTTAACAATTTTTTTTAAGATTTTTTGTGCTATAGATACAAATTTACAAAAATTTTCTGTTGGCCTTTTTAAGTTTAATATCAAAGAAATATCTGAAGAATAATTTTTACAAAATATTAAAAATTCCTGGTTATCAAAAGTAACATCCTCAATATCTTTTAACATAATACCTTCATATATATTACACTTAAATTTATCCATACACTTTTTTCCCAAATAACCAGCAAAATACATATTAGATCAGTCTTCTAATGTGACATTTAGAGAGTCATTTTCTTCAAATATAACTTCATTTGACGATAATGAAGAAAATGAAAGATTTGAACAATTTGAACTGCAGTCATTGTCATCTTCTACATCTAAATTAATGTTTTTTACATTAAATTTGTATCATCATCGGGTTGGCAGTTAGACTGTTCAGGCGGTTTCATTAAATTCATTTTAGTATTCAATCGGAATGTAGTCCTGAATAATCTGGCTGTTGGATTCCTTAAAATCATAATATATATCATATAATTATAGTAATAATAAATTAATAAACATATCATTTATAAAAGTAAAAAAGTACATTGTTATGATATTTTGACTCCTAAACTATTATTATTAATTATTATTTAAATATATTTTATAATTATTTGTTATTTTATAAAAAATAAAATTGTTTTGAGGTTACTTTTAAAATATATAAATTACGGAGAATACATAATTAAAAATTTTTCTTATCGATTATAGCCACCTCTTTGACGGAAAACAGAAAAAGTATTTTCTATCACATCTGAGTTAAATCGATTGGTCAGTAAATAATTATATTCCATTTTACATTGTTGAGTATACAACATATTAAAGAATTTATTGTCCATATTAATCCATCAAAGCATGGTGGTCTGGTATCTTGTCGTTTTTTAGTATTTTATTTTTTTTTCAA